TTCAGTCCTTTAGCTTTGTCTGTGGCGGGACAGCACATTATGGTGGAATCATCTCATAGAAGAGGCCCATTTACCTCATGGCCACCAGGAAGCAAAGCGAGAGTGAGAAGGCGTCAGGGTCCCAGGATTCCCTTCCTGGCCACGCCCCCAGTGACTCACTTCCTCCCACCCAGCCTTTCCTCCTCAAGATGCCACACTTCCCAGTAGCCCCAGGGGCTGTGAACACAGCTAGGAACACATGGGCCTTTGAGGAACACTGAAGATCCAAACCAGAGCACCTAGTAACTCAGTTAACTGCTTGTTAAAATAAATGTACCTGTATTGAGTTATATTACAGCTTATTTTACTATCATCTTTATTCTCAAAACAATGACATTGATGGTTGTTTCTTTCTTGCAAAAACACTCACATCACCTATTATTTTATCTTGACATTTCCTTTCCAAATATCTTTACATTTCTCTCTCTGCATCTCAGCTATTGGCAAGAACCTAAAGTCATTTCACCAACATTTTTGTGCATTTATGTAAATGATTGTAAGTGCTCGCTAAAGTACAGAGTGTCAAAGCAAAACTTGCAAAGCTCAATGAGTTTCTGCAGCCAAGTTGGAGTTGGAGTTTTGTTTTCTCTCTTCTTGCTTTTGTTCTTGCTCTGCCTCCCACAGCCCACATGAAAAAAGACATTGACCTGGGAGTTAAGAAAAGAAAACAATAAAAGGCCTCACAGAAGTGTGGGCAGGTGTCCTGTATTTATGTGCTGGGTCAACGCGATTTGCTCCTGTCTCCTCCCCCAGGGCTCCTCTGCCCCCAGGTCTGGCTCCAGACCATGAATTTCTGGGGAGTTTCTTTGCCTTTTGATCTCCTCACTGATCTAATGCAATTGTCGACTGGCAGAAGCGCTGCGAGGTGCAGAATAAAATAATGAAGTTAATTTGATTTGCACTCTGCACCCACCCTTAAGATCTACATGTCTTTATTGTATTAGATTCCTAATGAGATTCTCTGTCTGTACTCCAGTGGTCCCTGGGGGAAGAGGTCATCTTGGGAGACTTCGCCATTTACATCCCATCTTTAATGGGGATGGACCCGGCTGCCCTGGGGTCCTAGAGTGATCCTCCTTCCCTTCTTGGACTCTGCTGGACAAGCAATGTGGAGGCAGTCCCTGCTGCAGAGACCGGAGTGCTTCTGTCACATCTAGGAGAAGGGAAACTGGACCAAAGGTCAGTGCTGGGCTGGGCATTTGTAGAGAAGCTCAATGCAGATGTCTAGCCCCAAGCCATCTGTCCCAAGAGATTTTCCACAAGCTGTACGTGGTGGCAAGGGAATATAGTATTCCCAGCTCCCTCCCGAAGGCACCGAATTCCCTGAGGAATTTCAGTGGGGTCCAGGTGAGTGCACGGGTTAAGCCCCATCCAAGTGTGGCTGGCAGGGTCATTTGGGCAGGACACGGTATGCAGTTCATCCCGGAGAACCCTGTCCCTCCCGATCCAGGCAGCCCCAGAAACACCACTTCACACCCACAGGGGGCTTTGAATCATTTCATTGATGTCCACCTACTCTACCCCCAGCCCCTCTTTATATCCATCCAGATATTTGCAGTGCTGCAGATATCACCTCTTGCTATTTCCAGATCCAGAATATTTGATTTATCTCTTTCAAGTTACAACATACACTGGGGTTATGGTGCAGCAGAATTTTGGTGCTTTTTTTTTTTTTTTTCCAAAAGCTGTTTTTGAATTTAGGCACAGCATTGCTGAAAAGTCTGATTTAATGCATACATTCCACCTTTTCACAAGGTTGAGTGAATTATTTTAAGACCCAACTTAGGAGGTGGGCACAAACATCAGTGTTACAACTCACAAGTGTACTACTCCAATTTAAAAGGGTTTTCTTGGATGATTTCAGATAAATGAAAAGGGGGTGAAACTGGAGTGTTACCCAAGGAATTAGTTTATAAAAGCAAACATCACAGTTTGTTTTCAGCCTCCCCTGAATCCCTGACATCATAGGAGGAAAGCAAAAGCGAGGTGATTGGCATGGTGACAACTTTTGGGGGCAGGGAGGTAGTTTATATTTAATCTAAGGTTTTTAAGAGGAATCTATGAGCTTTGGTTTGGGTCTCCGTGGGCAGGTGTCTGTATCATGGAAACACCATACATAATTCACCACCAGAGAGCCCCAGAACTTAGCAGAAAGGCTAAATTGCCTGTCACTGCCACACAGGGCGCTTCCTTCAGGTCAAGGTTGAGAGCTCTGGCAAACCCGCCTGAGGAAGGGCACATCAGCTGCTATCTAAATGTCAGCACTACCTCTCCACGGTGGAAAGCACGCTGGCTATTTGCCCCTTGAATTCGCTGGCCTCTTTTGCAGGGCCAATTAACACATTCACATTCTGAAGTCAGGCTGGAAGGAAGGGATTGAGTCTGCTAGCTTTAATGATGAGACCATTCGGTTTGGGTCCCGCGGATGGATTCTGGGATATGTGAGGCTCACTGTATGGCCGGACGGATGGGATCCCAGAGGGCTGAGCCCATACAACTTATGTGGAATACGAAAGCATCTCATTATTGCCCGCTGGGACACGGTCCGGGCGCAGGCAGACCCTGACTTAGGAGCACAGTTCCATCCGGCTGAGGCGAAGCTGCTGAAGGTCCCCTCTCCGCCACAGACTGGCGACTGCCTGGCAAGTGACAAGAAGAGGCAGGGAGACGCGGGGCTCAGCTGTCACCTCTGTAGCTGCAGCGCCATGTGAATCACCACCCGCGGACTTCCGTGCAGATGTATCACCCTTATCTCAGGAACGCAGTCTCTGATGCGAGAGAAACCAAGTCAAATAGAAGACGCAGGCAAGGGCAGAGGTGGGGGAGATGCGCACTCCTTCTTAGAATATTTTCTGGGTTTTCTTGTGGGGTCAGCGAGAGAAGTTTCTCAAGTAGTTTTAACACTTTCGTTGTTCTACAAGATCTTTATATTTTTAAAGTAAATTTTGAGTTTCATTAAATAATTGGGCTTTATAAGTTATTTCTAATACAATGAAAAGGATGGCTGCTTATTTTTGAGGGTGTCCCAATATAGAAGAATATTTCATTATATAAAAGCATTCTAATTATGTCTTAATAAAATTATAAAAACTGTTTAAAACATGTTAATAAAATTAATGGAATCAAAATTAGAGATTAACTGTTTAATATATGCAAAATTTACTGTATTCAGTAAGGTAGAAGAGCAGGAAAAAAAAATCATAGCCACAGATATTTCCAAAGTTAAGAAATAAAATGCAAGGCACCAGGCATCAGGATTAATAGATGATGCTTCACAAATTTCTGATGGATTCCTCGAGTGAGAGCTAACTTCTCCAGATTGGAAAAACTTTAGTGTTTAATTTAAAATGATCTATTAGTTGAGAAAATCTTCTCGGATCTCAGGAAAATACAGTGCTTTCAAATTGTGCAAAACAATTTTCAGGTTAATTTGGTAAGCTCAGGAGAAACACAAACACCTAATTCAACAAGCAACAGCTTTTATATATCTGAGGGCAGAGATTAATTCTTTCTACAGCGTATTACTTGAAGATGATATAAAACACATGATTTTCTAACTAGCTTTTATAAATATGCCCACTTTATAAGAGTGAATTAAGTACGAAGAGTTCTTGCAAACTACAGACTTCAAAAGCTATTTTTCTCTTTTAAATCTATTATTTGTGTAAGTGTATGCTTTATATACAGTCCATGTCAATTCTATTTACATGCACATTCCAACTTCTATCTGTTTTTTACTTCTAAGTAATTGTAAATATAACTAGGTGAAAATGTTCACTTGAGTCTGCCTGAAGTCAGACATTTCTTCAAAATGTATCACAGCGTGTAGGTGCTGAAAGGTTGTGTGTGGGTGGCCCACCGTAGAAGCCACTAGGTAGATGGTGGCACTGAGACAGCAAATGCAGGCTGTAGGCACACCAGCCCCATCACACAGGGAAGTTCTCGGGTGAGGAGCTGAAAGGGGCAGGGGAATCTAGTACTGCTGCCACTCAGAGGCTGGGCTCACTCTCCAGGCAGATGTCTGGAAAAGACATCCTTTTCTGGTCCTTGGGGAGATTTCTGGGGCAGGATGGGGGCAAGCATAGCACAAGGAAGCTTAGCTCTCTTTGTTACACAAGTGTGTGGCCTTTTGGATACCCCTACAGGGCGCACAGAGCCCTGCCTTCGAAGTGGGCTTTGAGTGAGTCTTATGACTTTCAGTGTCAGTTACACACTGACAGGTCCCAAATGTACACCTCTGCCCTGGGTGTCCCCGGTGAATTCCAAGCTCACATATTGAACTGTCTGCCAGATGTCTCCACTTGGAAGTCTACATTTGAAATATAACAAGTTTAAAGATGTCCTCATAATTTCAAACTTCTGCTTTGGCTCCAAACTCGTTCTCCTACAGTCCTCCCTGTTACAGTCAGAAGCAAATCCATTTTCCCAGTTGATCCAGCCCCAACCCAAGCCCTCCTTGACTGTTCCCTGTCCCTCACGTTCACACCCATTTGTGATGAAGCCCTGTCACTGTCACTAGCAGATGCATCTAGAGCCCAGCTGTGCTTCCCCAGGGCCACCCCCATCTCCCTGGCCAAGCCAACCTCCTGCCACGAATCTTGCACCCTCTTGCCTGGCTTTCCTTTCATTTTCCCTCCTCCTGAACTGCACATTACAGTCACACAGCTGGGAGAGGCAGGTAAGCTCATCCTGCCCATCGCTTCACACAGAGTCCAGTCCTTGGCCTTTCCCCAGCCCCTCTGGTCTCCCCCTTCATTCTCCCTCTGTCCCCCAGGCCTGGAACACTTCTGTCCTTGGAGTGAACCATGCACACCTCTCTCAGGGCCTTGGGTCTTCCAGTGGCTTCCTCAGAGGGCCACGCCTCACCGTCTCCTCTCTGCCAATACCATACTCAAAGGGCACTTCTCTGGGAACCCACCCTCACTCCTCCTCTCTGCTTCTTTTTTCTCCTTAGCACTTACTGTGATGTGATGTAGCCTAGCCATCCACTTTGTTTTCTGTCCTCCCCAGCTCAGGATGGACACCCTTGAATCAGGTCTTTTGTCTGTTTCCTGCTCTGTCCCAGCACCTGGAATACAGTAGTACTTAATAGGCATGCATGCAATAAATAGATACACTGCTTAAGAAAATGTAAAACTCTTGCAGATGGGAAAGGGACAAAGAGATGGAAGGAAGGGAAGGGGAGGGAAGGAGAAAAGGAGGAAAAAGAATTACGATGTGTTATGTACCTGTACCAACTACCCGTGAGGAATGTGACCAGTATGAATGAAGCATACTCCAATAAAAACCAAACTAAAAATGTAAAATTCAGACCTGAAACTTCTATGATCCTTACTCCTCTTAATAATATTTTAATACATATATACAATCTATATCCATATCTATAGACATCTTCTTCGTGTGCTATTTTATGCATTTCATAAATGCTTAGGGTCCTACAAACCCTACCTGAATCAGAACACAGAACAATCTCATCACCCTCCAAAAACTCCACCAAGGTCTTCCTTTCTAATCAAGCTTTTTGGCCTCTCTTACCTCTAGATATCACTGACCTGTTGTTTTGCTTTTTCCTGAATTTCCTATAAACGCAATGACACAGTTTTTTAGGTCTGGCTTCTACTTGGCACAATTTCATTTGAGAGTCATCATGTAGTTAGGCATAGTTATAAGATCTTCTGTTTCTTTCTGAGAAGTATTCTACTACTTGACTATACCAGACTGAATTCGCGGTATTTCCAGGATACCACAAATAAAAGAAATACACTATCAGGATGTAATTCACAAAGCCAAGTCTTTTGTAGAATACAAACACCTTTGTGAGTAATACAGAACTAAATTTAGTGGTTCACTTTTTAAACTAAATATACAAAATCAACCAAAAGAAAACATACCCTAAATATTAATAGTGCTTGTTTTTGATTAGTAAATACTTTTTTCTCTTCTTTTTTCTGTAGTTTAAAAATATTTTCAAAGGCTATCTCTCCTTTCTATAACACAAAAACTTTATTTCAGAAAAGATGATCGATTAAGTTGCATAGAAGTTGAATTTTTCCGGAAGACATGATTTTAGGAAATTGAAAATGCATTTATTTCTTTTTAGCTTAAAATTATATCCGACTGCATTCAGTTAGCTAGACTTTTCAAAGGTAATAAGAAAGCTTTGGGTTCAGCAAAAAGTTTATTTAACCCAAAGAAGGAAGTTGGATGCTACTTTTAAGATTATAATTTTCAATTTGTTTCGGTAACAGTTTAATAGTTACCATCCAGAGCTGCTGCTTCTTTAAGAAATGAGGGTCTCCAAACAGTTTCTGAAGTAATAGATCATATATAAATAGGTTGTTTGCTCTCGGTACAGATGCCATCATTAGTAACTACTTTCAGGCTCTTTGAGAGCTAAATAATTCCGCAATGCATCATTGAGCATTCAGTTGCTTCATAGCAGATGGTTTCGGGGCCCATCTGCTCAAGGCAATGTTTTCAACAAGCCCTCTTCACCTCCTCCAAAAGGCTGGGAAGCATTAAAATATTCATTCCCACGCCAGGTGCGTGCCTTGGCTCCCCGCGGTGGGGAGAGGGAGTACTCTCTCTCTCTCCTTTTCTTCCTTTCTTTCCCTCAGAAAGGAAACCTGCTGAGTTTAAGAAGGCTCAGACCAAGTGTCCAGGCCCTACAGGAAGATTTCTGAATCTCAAGGACCTCTAAACTGGCCATGTTGTGATCCTGGTGTGATGTGTGTTGGGTAGGGGAGGCGGGGAGAAGAGAAGAGGGGGTGAGAGAGAGGGAGGGGGAGAGAGAGAGAGAAGGAGGGAGAGGGAAACAGGGAGAGGGGAGAGAGGAAGAGGGAGGGAGAGGGAGAGGGAGATGGGGAGAGAGAGGAGGAGGAGGGGGGGGAGATGAGGGACAGAGACAGAAGGAGAGAGAGAGAGGGAGAGACAGAAAGGGGGAAGAGACAGAGAGAGAGAGGAAGAGAGGGAAAGAGAGAGGGAGACAGAGAGAGAGAGAGAGAGAGAGCGCAGGAGAGAGACACAGAGGGTGGGAGAGAACACTCACGCGAGAGAACGCACATATCTTTAGAGGTTATGGCTTTCCAAGGCTGACTGTGGTAAAAATGAGATATTAGGCGGTTACTGTAGTCCGTTACCTATTACTCCAGCCCCTAACCTGGGCTGAAGCACTGTCAGCTTCCTGTGGGTTTGTGGGGATAAAGAATGCGCCTCTGCCACTGAGGACACGAGGACCTGAGACTCTCCAGAGAGGTCAGGGTGAGCACAGGAAATACAAGAATGAGCTCCTGCTCACCTCACTTGGACAAGAGTGCATGGTGCCCGGTGTCTGGACGCGAGAGGGCCCGAGGCGAGGGGCTGGGCGTGCGGCTAGTTCTCCTCCAGAAATCCCAGATGCCCCATGACCTGTGTGATCTCGGGAGACGTGGTCCGGCAACGCACGATGAATAAGACATGGGCGGCAGCTGCTCTCCGGAGGTGCAGAATTTTTCTTTGCAGACTGGAAAGTAACCAGGAAAGATAAAGTCGGTGAAGAGGAAACACAGAATATGAACAAGAGGACTTTTTTAAGAGATCACAAGAAATTACCAACCCGGTGAACAACCCCAACACAACATGTGGATTCAGCACTGTGAACCATGCAAATGCCTTTCAGGCACTGAGGAACTAGAGAGAGGCCACATTAGCACCTAACTTGTCAGCAAAGGGAGCAAGGAAGGGACTGTGATTTCGGAGAAAAGTCAGTGCGTTCTGCTGCTCCACCTCGGCCAGCATCTGGGGTTCAACTATGGAAAGTTTGTGATTTAATTTATCATTTTAACTGGATCCTGATACATTTGAAGAAACATTGCTATAGCTCTCAGCCGTGTATTTCAGAGAGCTGTTCAAAGACCATTTGAGTGTCTATTTTCTTTTTATAAAAATATTTTTAAAACTAGGAAAAATGATAATCTCTGGCTTACTGAAATGAATGTCACTTGCTGTTTGGTGGTGATTCTAGCCTCATACTCATTCACTCATTTATAAAGGCATTTATTAAATTCCTACTAATTGCCCAGAGTCAAACCAGGTTTGTGATAGAGACCCTGTTTTCAACCCCAAAGATCTTCCTGGTTTCTAGTCCAAAACCCGCTGCTAAAGAGTGGTTAAATTCAAGGTGAGTGATTTATTCCCGACCTCCAGTCTGAGGGAGTGGCCTGCCTTAGGGGCCCAAGAGCACGCAAGATCCTGATTCTGTCCCCAGTGTCATCCTGATGGTCCTGTCAAGAATAGCCACCGAAACTGACTTTCCTGTCCCTTCTGCTATTGCTTTCAAAGAAGAAATACTTCCACAGATCCCAGATGTGCCTTCTTGTTTGTGAATGCTTTAGAACTCAGTTAATTTAGTCCTGTTTTGTTTCCTTAAGTATGTTTAGCACTGTTCTTCCAATGAAGAACCTGATTAAAGGGCTTGTTCTGTGCCTTCAGTCACTGTGTGCTCACACTGGGGAAAGAAGACAAGCCTACTCTTTATTATAGGAAACAACAAAAAAGCTGTATGACCTTCTTGGAGGGCACCGTTAATGAAGGTCTGAGTGCATTCTAACCATGCCAAGAGGGTCAGAGATCATTCCGGCCTCCTTTGGAATGGAATCCTTCTATCCTTCTCAGCTACAAGGACAAGCCAAGTTTTTGTCTTTTTTTTTTTTTTTTTTAGTTTTTTTGGTTCTAGAATCCTATCCCCCCCAACCAAAAAGAAAAACCAAAGTTTTGGCCTTTTTTTTTTTTTTTTCTAGTTTTTTTGGTTCTGAAGATTGAATCCTGGGCCTTTGCACTGAGCTGTGTCCTCATCCATTTTTTAGGTTTATTTTGAGACAGGGCCTTGCTAAGTCACTAAGTTACCCAGATTAGGCTTGAATTTTCAGTCCTCCGGCCTCAGCCTCCCAGAGTACTGGGATCACAGGCTTGTGCCACTCTGTCCAGCTACATTTGACTTCTTTAGAGAAAAACTGCAGGCAAAGAGGCTTGGGTTAACTTTGAGGGTGGTTCTTTAAAAATGCAAGTGGTCATGTGATGATAGTTCTGTGGGTTTGGCCAAGGCCAAGCCTGAGTGAACACACAGAAGTAAGAGTGGCTGAAGCAGGAGAAAGGATTGGGCATGGAGTACAGAGACCCAGCTTGGGTTGAAGGGCTGTGCGAGGAAGCCATGAGAAAGGTGGGTGTTGGATGATTTGGAGCTGAGCGCTGTCGGCCTTCTCCAGGAGGTCTCCCTGTGGAAGAGGAACAGATTATCCCACACCTTGTGCAAATCTGCATGCACAGGTCACACACCACAGCTGCTGGGGTGCTCTCGGCCAACTCAGGCCCAGACCTACACAGGAGAGGCCAGGGCACGAGAGCCCGAGGTTTTCATGAGCACCTACAGCACTGTCTTACAGCTCAAATGAAGATCCCCAAACAGAAAGGGCTGACACTGCACATGAGAAAACAGTCAGTTGCAGAGATACAAACATCACTCCAAAACTAGAAGGAGGAAAATGACTCATTAGCTAGTTATTTTATTTTATTTATTCATGTAATTCTGCAATTAAACCCAAGGCCTTCTGCTAGACAAGAGCTCTACCACTGGGTTCCATTCCCAGTCCCTAGCAAGCATTTTTAGAAGGATCCATCACAACAAGCAGGAGGTTCTCAGAGCAGGGGAGTCCTTCCATTCCTCAACTCAATGAGCAAAGAAGGCAACAAATTAAACTGATTCTTCCATAAGGTTTACACTCAGTAAGTCAAGCTATCATTAGAAAAAAATCATCGATTCCTCGGTGAATGTCTTGCTTTCTCACTACTGGACACAACACTCAAGACTCACGACTTAGAGGAGAGAAAGTTTATTTAGCTCACAGTTTGTAGAGGTTTCAGTCCATAGGTGACTGGCTCCAAGGCAGGGTGGCATGGCAGAGGGCAAAGGTGGAGAAGAAACAGCTCATGGCATGGTGGTAGGAAACAGAGAGAGATCAAGGGCGGAGGAGGGAGACAGACCCTTCCAGGCCACACCCCAGTACCCCACCCATGAGTCCATGAGACTTCTGGGGGATATCTAGATATCAACCATAGCAGTGAATTTCACCATATCAAAACATCCAAGTGGTGGGTTTTAAGAAACTCATGTGATTTCAAGGAATCCCACTGACTTTGGATCGCTTTCTGTATTTGATTATTTATCAGTGCCTATTGCACAGTAGACACATGGGAAAGATGGTGTCTGAAAACAATACCAAAGCAATGATATCCTTTCTGTTTTGGTCATGTTCATGTGGAATCTTATGCAGGAATCTACTGTCTGAAACCGTTACAGTAGGAGAGGCTTTGTGAGAGTAGAAGAGGGGACCTCGACTTCCATGCACTTAAAACCGTGCTCCTTACATCTGTGGGGAACCCTCCTGCCACTGGGGGTGCATTTTTAAAAATTGTATTCCACTTTTCTGCTTTTAATTTTGTGTCTTTTTATATTTTTTAATTGGCAAAGAAAAATTGTTTGTATTTCTCATGTGCAACATGACGTTTTGAAAAACATTTACTTTGTGCAATGTCTAAACTAAGCTAACAACATATGCTTTCCTCTTTTACTTCAGTCTTTGTGGTGAGAACACTTTACATCTAATCTCAACAATATTCAAGCATACAGTTGTCACCATGCTATTTTCCACATCTGTTGGACTCATTCCTATTGTTGAACTGAATTTAAACCCTTTGACCAACCTCTCCTTGGTCCCCAGCTGCTCTTTCCTCCCCAGTCCTGGAAATCACCAATCCATCCCCTGCTTGCATGTGTTCCTGTGTTTCAGAATCCACGTGGACGTGAGAGTATGTGGTATTTTCTCTCTGTTCCTACTCAGTAAGTGTTCTTCACCGCATCAAAATTGGTTGACCTAAAATCCCCACATTCACTTTGTTTGACATCTAGAACAAAATGACACCAATGACATCACATCTGGGCATTGACCAACTTCTGCTTTTCCACAAAAACATAGCTACACAGATCCTTACTGACCTGTACCAAAGTCATTCTCTCTTCATAGTATCTCTAACGAATACTCTTCCATTCCCTAACCCCAGCATACAGACTGTTGGCATGGAACTCTAGAGATAATGTGTTCAAATGACTCAATTTAACTCTAAAATTAATATTTTTTTCTTTACATGTTCTGCATATAAAATACCCAGATATTTATCTTTGGACTGAAAAATAAAACAAACATGAAAATCATCCTCTTCCTTCTCATTGTAAGTAGAGGCAGATGCCCTTAGTTAGAGGCCATCATCTTAGTGTAACCTGAGTGCACCGGTTTCCCAGTAACTATTAACACAGAGCTGCTTAAATAACAGAAATCAATTGTCTCACATTAGAGCAGGGAAGTCCTGATTACCTCAGAGGAAGGGAGAGTCAGTTCTGAGCCTCTGTCCTGGCTTCCCGCTGCTGCTGGTGAGCTCTAGCATTCTTGGCTTGCAGTTGCACCCCACACTCTGCCTTCATCTTTGCATGGTTCCCCCTCTGTGAACGTCTGGCTCTGTGTTCATGGTTCCCTTTCTTATAAGGGCACCAGGGCCCACTGTAAGGCCTCTCCTTGACCATATCCATGGTCAAAGTCTCAAGGTTTGAGATTTAGGACTACAACCTCTTTGGGGGAGACTCTTCTCAACTCTCAAGAGCAAGTGCCATGTTATCTGCTGCTCTCTGCTTAAGCTTGATGCATGTGCTGCCTGCACCCAAGCAGGACTGGAGATTGGCACATCTGGCCGGCCTCTGGGCTGGCAGCTATGGGGACTGCAGGCTCAGGGTCCAACAAATGGAGACACATGCTGTACTGGTATCCTGCGAGGTGACCCTGGAAAAATATCTTTGAGAAGTGATATACTTGACAAGAAAGGAAGCTAATACTAATGAGTCAGTAAAAGCTAACGAAGGACTCTCTGGGGCTTTGCTGATGGCCACATAGGCTCCCACCCAGTCTCAGGTCCATGCACACACACAACTATGGGACTGCAGAAAGGTTTTACAGTTCCTGTCACTTCAGTGGAAAATGTAGTCAGCCGGTAATGTTAAGGGCTTCCTACTGCGGAGGCTCCACCTTTCTCCATACTATGGGGTGGGGGGCTCCCCTCTCCTCCTGTCAATGCTTCCCCTTCCCTGGCCACATCCCCTCCATCAGGTCCCTTAATTACTGCAAGTCAAGCACGATTCAGAACTGGAGATGCAATGTTGGGTGAGACAAAATCCTCCTAGGAGGGACAGACAGACAAGCTGCTCGAGATGAAGTGGTTGAATTTTGCAGACTGGCAGGCTACCTGCAGAACACGAACAACTGACTGCATCACAGTGTGCTTGCCAGGAGCTCTGCACACTCAGGACTCCAGGGCAACATGCAGAAGTCACGTGTGTGCCTGATTTCACATGTACGGGAAGGAACATGTGTGGCTATGAAATCCGAAAGCCCCGCCTACAAGTCCAGATCTCCTCACTGA